GTTTTTGAGAGAACCAACGATGATGACGACGACGATGATGACGACGACGACGACGACGACGATGACGACGACGACGACGACGACGTTGCAGCACCAGAAGCAGCATTTGCATTTGCATTTCTATCGAAGTGCATCTTCAAGTGCCGAGAGTTCGTCTTGGCGTTGAACACCGTTTCTATCTTTACCCTGAGAAAAAGCTTTCTCTATCTCTCTCTCTCTCTCTCTCTCTATCTCTCTCTCTCTCTTTCTCTCTTTCCCTTTTTCTATCTTTCTCTTTCTATTTTTCTTTCTTTTGCTCATTCGAGCTGGAAACGATCCCACCACGTGCTGCAACCAAGACACTATTTCCCGTTTTACTTTAATTCCCTAAATATCTTATGAATTTACATCCCTCACCCTCCTTCCTCCACCCTCCACTCTTACTCCACCCCCTTATGAATTCCCCTCGCGTGTTGTCGTCATCCTTGATTTACGAGACAGAATAAAAAAAAAAAAAGAAAAGTTAGATGATGATATTAGAAAGAAAGAGAGAGAGAGAGAAAGAGAGAAAGAGAGAGAGAGAGAGAAAGGGAGAGAGAAATATGGGGGTTTAAGGGAAGACGGGGGAGTTTAGAATATAAAGAAAATTACAAGGTTAAAGTTATTTCAAACGAAGAAGAAAAAAAAAAAAGGAGAAAAGGAAAATCAAACTGTGAGAATTAAAAATTTGAAAAAAAAAAAAAATTATTTTTAAGATGAATATTATTTCAAAGGAAAAAAAAAAATTGTGAAAGTTAGTGGGGGAATTATAATTTAAAAAAAATTACATGAATATGAAAGTTATTAATAAACGAAGAAGGGGAAAGATAAAGAGAAGTATTATACAATGGAAGAATAAAAAAACAATAACTTTAAAAATTATTAATAAAATGAAAAAGATAGAGAGATAGAGAGCTAAGAAAAATGGAAGGAAAAAAGAAAAGAAAAGAAAAGAAAAAGAAAATAAAAAAGTAAGCAATAGAACTTGTAAGAAAGTTTCCAAGAGATGCGAATGATTAACTATCAAAAAAGAAAAAAGAAAAAATAGAGAGAGAGAAAGAGAGAGAGAGAGAGAGAGAGGAATAATAAAACTGTATAAAATAATGAAATAATAGGAAACAAGAAATAAAAAAAAAAATAAGAAGATAATAAAACGAGAAGAAGAAAGAACATTTTTCCTGTAAAAAGTAATTAATAAACGAAACAAAAAATAAATAAATAAAAAAACTAGGGGTAGAAAATTTTTTCTTCTTAACTGACAAAATCAAAAAAAAAAAAAAAGAATAAATAAAAATAAAAAAAAGTTTGCTATCTATTAAAAGAAAGAAAGAAATAAAAAATCAAAATGAACGAATCAGGAGGCAGATATTATTTGGGGTTTACTATTTCGTCTTCGTATGAATACGGTCGTATCCCTTCCTTCCTCCACCTCGAACTAGGATGAAAATTAGGGGTTGCAAGGAAGATCTCCCCTCTTTGAAAGAACCCTGACAGACTGTTTCAGTGGGGGAGAACCGAAACGTAATTTGCAACACCTTCGATGATGCCTACTCTTCTCCTAATGTGTCTGTTCTTCGATGTGAGTTATCGAAGCTCCTTTTAGTGTCTTCCGTGAAATTGTATCATGACTTATAGGTTAGAATTGAAGTAAGGGGTCTAAAAGATAATAAAAAAAAAAACAAAAACGAAATATTAAGTATTTATTCCAATTTGTTTTTTGCTATTTCTTTTTTTATTTTTTTTTTTTTTTTATTTTAATTTAAGACCAGAAACAAAATCTAAGTAAAAAGTTATAGGCATATGTATTTTTATAAATAAATATCGTAACGTCAAATGAGCATTGATTTTTTGAATCTTGAATAAATTTTATATACTTTTGTTTGTTCAAATTAAATTCAAATAATAACTATTTTAATATAATAATACTAGTAATAATAATAATAATAATAATAATAGAATATTTATAATTATATTTTTCTTATTAAATCGTTTTAAGTGAATTTTGTGAAAACACAAAATTAGTTGAAATTAAATTTAGAAATTTTAATAGAAGATTTATCAAACCCTTATCTCTTATCTATAATAAAGAAAAATAATTAGGATAAATAAATTGAAATATCAATAAATTATCTTTTGAATCCTAGATCGATAGATACCTAATTATATTTTTCTATCGATACTAAAGATAGAGAAATAGAAAGAAAAAAAAAACCTGTAATTATTTAAAAAAGACTGGTACGTAAATAGGTAAATACGGCCCTGAATCGAGATAATGTCCAATCGCCCCTAAAACGTTACCGAATGGTGGATGTAGGGAACTTCGAGGGAAAGGAAGAAGAGAAACGGAGGACGAAAATTGTGAGGGTGAAGGGCGTAGTCACGAAATCAGGCTTTACGTGTTCATTCCAAGACGATATTTCAAGGAACCAACCTTTTCCAACCAACTCTTTCTAAAATCTTTCATGATAAATATAACCCAACTTACCAAACTTTAAATGCTAACTAAAACCTAACATTTCAAAATAAATGAATTTAAACAAAACAAAAAAAATAACAAAAACAAAAAACATTGAAACTTCCTATTGCGATAAGAATCTAATGCAAGAGAGAAAATATTTCCTCTCTCTTTCCCTCTCAATACTTTCGAGATACACTTTACTTCTATGTAAACATAGAGAAAAGAGAGAAACCGATTAACAACCAACGTTTCTACGGAAAACTCTTGCGATATTAATGTTTGTGTTTGTTCAGTCCGTTTAATTTATTCTTCTTAAAACAATATAAATAAATACACATATCTATATATCTAATAAAAAAGTAACTGAAAAAAATATATAATAAATATGAAACTATAACGTGTTACGAAAAAAATAAAAAAGAAAAAGAAATCCAAAAGAAAAAGAAAAATAACGATATACCAATCACCCCCAACTCTCTACCCTCCTTTTCTCTCTTCCTGTCTCTATCTTCCTTTTTTTCGTGTATATATATATATATATATATACCTCTATCTCTCTTTTTTTTTTTTAAATGTATTTTTATGGAAAAATGGATGAAACTCTTGGGGTAGTAAAAACGATCGTTGCTCGAATGGTTCGTTAAAGTGTCGACGGCCGGCCGACCGGTGAGGTAGGAAAAAGAAATTTTTAATTTCTCTTTGTCCATCGTTACGACAAAACGTCGCCATTGTGTTCGGATACGGAGTTATATGCAAGAGAAAGAGAGAGAAAGAGAGAAAGAGAGAAAGAGAGAGAGAGAGAGAGAGAGAGAAAGAGAGAGAACAACCGTGAGATATCGACCGACTCGTCGGGGGCGCGTATATCCGTTCTATGTGTTTTCATATGTGCTTGTATTAGTATATGTTAGGGTTGATCCTGAAAGTGTTTGTGATTACCTATACGTACATACATAACAGTATCCCTACAGACATAGTTTCTATGGGGGTACCAGTGATGGTTGCTTGGTGGATGAGGGTGACAGTGAGGGTGAAGGTGAGGCTGTGGATGGGGGTGGGATTTGCCCATATCCAAATCGACCCTTCAACATCCTTATTCCATTCGATATCACTACATTTATATATATATATATATGGTATGTGTGTATGTATATGTTACAATAGATATAAATGTATATGTATATGTGTGTATTCGAGGAAAGTCCCTCCAGCTGTTTAATTAAAAACTTTCCTCTCGAATTCTACGAATACTATGTTCGAATTCGAACGTCTTCTCTTCTTTTTAGTTTATTTTTATTTTGTAATTTATTTGATTTTACAATTCTTTTTTTCTTTCGCTATTTTTCTTATTTTATTTTTAAGTTTATATTATTATATATATACATAAAATGAATTCTCCTTATTTTCGTATTCGTAATTTCTACTAGAGTTACATTTTTATTTTTATATTTTTATTTTTATTTTTATTTTTTTTCTTCGACATCGTTGAATAATCCTCTCATACTTTCATACTTCGCTGATATTCTAGCGTGATAACGTAAGGTCTAGGTAAACCGCGATTAAAAGTGGCTTATCACTCGAGTACATACAGGATAATCGTAAGCTAGTAATAACGCAAGGAAATTGCACGGAAGACGTGTGTTCATAAATCCTTTTTTAAAATAAAGTCAAACTATTTTCCTTCCATCTATCTTCTATTTCTCTCTATCTTTCTTTCGGTGAATACAATTTATAGGACGTGAAATCATTAATTTCAAAGATTCGCATAAATTACATTATTTCTTTCTCTCGTATATTCCAATTGAAAAACCAGACAGAACTCTATAGTCGTTCTTGGTTCTAATAAGAAACGTTGAAGTTAATTTCGCGTTAAAATAATAGCACACGAAATTGCACACTCAAGCAAGCTACTTTTATCTTTCCTATTGAAAGATTAATTGTTTTTCTACCTTTACAGTAGAAAAAAAAATAAAAAATAAAAAACATAAAACTAAAAAAGAAACTATAACATTTTAACATAATATTTATATACCGACAAGTTAGTGACCATCGTTACCGACGTGTATGAAAGATTGCCGTCTTACAGGGGCCCCCAAACAATTTACGACGAACAAAAATACAACGATACGATTAATTTCTAATTTTTTCCTTCCGGTATTTTCCGAGAAAGAATAATGGTAGAAAATAAATAGGGATGAACATGGTGAGGTGAGGTAGGAAAGGGGATAAGAAACACAAAGATAAAAATAAAGAAAAAAAGAATAAAAGTTTCCAAGAAAAATATACGATGTGCAAAGAAGGATAGTGTGATAATGCGTTATTATAGAATCCTATAGTTATTTTTCATGCTCGAACGAATGTTGAGTGACAACCGGACATTAACATGCGACCTGCATCCTGTGATCGACCTCCATACCGATTCATTCCTCACGATACATTGACGATCCCGATCGAATGACTGATAATCCTCAATCTCTGATTCGTTTTTTTATTTGTTTCTTTGTAATTTGTTTCTTTTCAATCGTAGGTGGTATTGGTAGACCTCCCCTCTCGGTGTAATTCGCACGAATACAACAACGCAACAGAATACAACACAACAAGCACATTAATTCACGCACGTACTTAAAAAAAAAAGTACGTACAGGATGGACAGGTGGAGGAGAACTATTTGAGAAGCAAAGGACGAAAGAAGAAATGTGAAGACATATATATATATATATAGATTATTTAACATTTGACTTTGAAGAATCCTTTAATTCACGTTCGAATGTTATAACGAGAGTGATTATTAGGTAGAGAAGAAGGTTTCCTTCACAGGAAAGTGGAAAAACAAAATGGGCAAGTGTTGCAGCAAACGACAGGAGCCTCAACCTATTGGTAAGTTTTTTTATTATTATTTCTTTTATTTATTTATAAGAATTATATGAGATCATACGAAGTTATACTTCGTAAAGGAATAAAAATTTTAATCGAATTTTTATTTTCTATTTGTGATTTGATTTATAAATCAGGGTATACTAAAGCGGATACAGGATTGAGCTCAAAACACAGCAATGGTGGTTCCTTGGACCGATACACGGCCGATCCAAATCAAAGAGGCGTACAAGCCAGGGCGGATATTATCCGTCCAAGGCCAACACCTTGTAAGCTACAGATACCGCATCAACCACGTAAAACAAGCTCGCCTGTCGTTATGCCTGCATGTGTGTATTATACTTTTGTTTCTTTTGGTTTACTTTATATTTTTATATTCTCCTTTAATGTTTATTTGAAAGATTTATATCTTTCATCGTAGATATAGTTGTCTTCTTTCTTGTATACTTTTTTTTTTTTAATGAATTTTAAGTTATTCCGCTAATGCCAAGGTTGGTTCTACTGTAAATAATGTCGATGTGTTTTAACGCTCTTAAAAAAGAAAAACTTCTTTTTTCTCCCGATAATAAATAATCTTTTCAATGAAATAGCTCATTCCCAACGTGCAAACAAAATCGTCGTTGCTCTTTACAATTACACGGCACGTGAGAGCACTGACGTGAGTTTCGTCAAGGGCGACAGAATGGAAGTTTTGGATGATTCCGAGCCAGACTGGTGGAAGGTTTTACATTTGACGACCCTGCAGGAAGGTTTAATTCCATGGAATTTCGTAGCTGTTGAACGTTCCGTTGAAAGCGAAGAGTAAGTATCCTAATGTCAATACTATTATTCGTTTAAAACATTCTCATTGCAATTTAAAGTACCGATTAATATCAATTATAAATTATTTACAGTTGGTTCTTCGAAAATGTGTCGCGTAAAGAAGCAGGAAAATTATTATTGGCAGATGAAAATCCACGAGGTACGTTTTTGGTAAGACCAAGTGAACACAATCCAAGGGGTTACAGTTTATCCGTAAAAGATTGGGAAGAAGGTAGGGGTCATCACGTAAAACATTATAAAATTAAACCATTAGACAATGGTGGTTTCTTCATCGCCACCAATCAAACATTCCCAACTTTGCCAGCTTTAGTTATGGCTTATAGCAGTGAGTATATTAATATTTATCTATTACAATTAAATAAACTTATTTATCGTTCGATCATTATTAGATAACTCGTTAACTTTGTTGTTTGTTCATATTCAGAAAACGCGTTAGGTCTTTGTCACGTTTTATCGAAGCCTTGTCCGAAGCCCCAACCAGATATGTGGGATCTCGGGCCAGAATTGCGTGACAAATGGGAGATCAAGAGGAATGAGATTCAATTGATAAGAAAATTGGGCCATGGCAACTTCGGTGAGGTTTATTACGGCAAATTTCGGAATAAAACCGAGGTGGCAGTTAAAACCTTACGCCCTGGTACCATGTCGACGGAAGCTTTTCTACAAGAAGCTGCAATAATGAAACAATTTCGACACAGACATTTGGTAGCCCTTTACGCGGTATGCTCTAAAGAAGAACCAATTTACATTGTTCAAGAGTATATGTGTAATGGGAGTCTATTAGACTTTTTACGTACCGGTGACGGCAAATACATGCAATTCGAGGACCTGATTTACATCGCAGCTCAAGTTGCATCTGGCATGGAACACCTCGAGAGCAAACAATTGATACACAGAGATCTAGCTGCTAGGAATGTTCTCATTGGTGAAAAGAACAAAGCTAAGATTTGCGATTTTGGACTCGCCAGAGTTATCGAGGACGACGAATATTGTCCTAAACAGGGAAGCAGATTCCCGGTTAAGTGGACAGCACCTGAAGCTATTGTTTATGCAAGGTTTAGCATCAAGAGCGATGTTTGGTCTTATGGTATTTTACTTATGGAGTTATTCACTTACGGACAAGTTCCTTATCCGGGTAAGATAACAACCCCTAAATCCTAACCCTTTATTTGTTTTGATTAAACTCGAACGTGCTATATAATCAAAGTAATTATTTTTTTGTCTTTTAGGTATGCACGGTCGTGAAGTAATCGAGCATGTGGAGAAAGGTTACCGTATGCCCAAACCATTGAACCATCCATTACCGGATAGTATATATCGATTAATGTTAATGTGCTGGGATGCCATTCCTGAAAAACGGCCGACCTTCGACTTCCTCAATCATTATTTCGAATCATTTAACGTAACTAGTGAAATACCTTATCTCGAGCCACCGACGGACTGATACACAGCCCACATGCAGAATCACATGGTACCGCATGGTCATTATCATCCAGCGCACGTTAATTGTGCCATGGAATTTTACGGTATTTATTGCTAAAATGGAGGAAAATGAAAAAAAATAAAAAAAAAAAATAAAAAAACAACGGCGATAACCACACAAAAGTGTGGAGAATCGTTTTTATAATATATCGTTGTAATGATGATGATGATGATGATGATGATAATGATAATGATGATGATGATGATGATGATGATGATGATGATGAAGAAAATTGAAGAAACGAAATGAAAGAAAAGGAAAGAAAATAAAAAGAAAAAAAAAAAGTTAAAACAATGAACAGAACGAAATTCCGAATATCGATGATGGAAAAAAAATAATTTATGCGAATATATATAAATGTGTGGTGTCTCTTGATGACAATAGAAAAAAAAAAATGGAGAAGGAGAGATGATGAATTTACGGTGATGATTTTATATGAAATACACACGCTATATTATTCTCTACGATAGAAAAATCTACTTTCTTTCGATCGACGAAAATAATAAAAAAAAAAGAATAAACCTTTTGTGCCATGAACTTTATCCAATTTCTCATAGGTATTTATTTATCGAAGTTAAAACAAGATGAAAAAAAAAAAAAAAAAAAATAGGGCAACACAAGACTTTGTGTAATCATTCTTCTGACCAATCGCGAATAACTGCCGATAAATGTTTTTTATTTTTATTTTTTTTTTATTTTTCAACGTTCTTACACTTTGAAGAAAAATACGAGAAAATGAGAGAAGAAAGAAAAAGAAGAAGAAGAAGAAAAAAAAATTAATTAATTAAAAAAATGTACCAAAATTTGAATTCAAGCTTTGCGACCAATTGTGAATAACTGCCGGATTTTTTGAAACCTAAATGTGTTACTACGACAGAAAATAAAAAAAAAAAAATAAATAAAAACAATAAAAATAAAATGGAGAATATAAAATTTGTCTAGTATATATATATATATATATTATATATACATACATAGTATCCTGATTTAAATCGTTCGTTAAACGTTTTCACAATTTCGAGAAATATTAAATGAACAATGTTTTATCGAAATAATTAATAGTATTAATTAAGGGTGTTTAGAAGCAGTGTAGAATTGATACGAATTGAAAAATAATGTAGTTATTAGGTAGTATTTAAAAGTCATAGATTGTATAATCATATTTTAGTCCGTTAGATTATTATCAATTACGAATGAACAAAGAAGGAAAAGAGAGAACAATATGTAATAATAATAATAATAATAATAATGTTTGTCATTGATCTCCGATCATAGTCGAGTTTTCCTAATGAAATGAAAATTGTATCGACGAATATCTTCGAAAAATTTTCTTAGATTTATTAATTATTAATCAACTGTTATATGTCGAATGTCGTCACGAATGCACAACAAAAATTAATGTGTTTTTTTAAACGGGGCTAGTGACAAAGAATAATTATTTACGCGACTAGGGAATGTGACTGCATTACTTTAAAACGTGTTGTTACATCACATCCATACTTAAGCTTCTCATTTGTTGTTTGTTTGTTTGTTTGTTTTTTTCTTCTTTTTTTTTTTTCCATTTTTTAATGCATAACGCATTAGTATCATCCGACATATATGTATTTATGATGTATGTATGTATGTAATTTAAATATCCAGTATTCGTACGCGATTATTTTTAACTGTGATTTTTCCCCGAGTCGCGGAATATTATATATAAATGAAAAAAAAAAAAAAAAAGAGAAAAAATGGAAGAGACCAATGTCCACACAAATGTTGGTGTGTAATTTCTTTTTTCTAATTTGCTTTAATTGCAAATTATTTTAAATGCGACTGCAATAACTGCGATATCGATAGAAATGATTTATGTAATTTACTTCGGGTGCAAGATTTCTTTCTTTTTTTTTTCTATTCTTTAAAAGATTTTTGCACTTTTCGCGAAAATATCGTTGATTACGATGTATATGGCAATAGAGATTAGCGTTTTCTTAGTTTAATATTAATAATACGAAAAAACGAAAAAGTGCGTGTGTGTGTGTGTGTGTGTGAAAAAGGAGAGAGAGAGAGAGAGATCAAATTGAAAAAAAAAGTTACTAATATTGGTATAAGAAACCAGGTCATACGAGAGTGTGTTTGTTCCGCAAAAAAAAAAAAAATAAAAACAAAACTTTATATTATCTTCTCTCGACATGCGTACATTTGTGAATGTGTGTGTGTATGTGTATGTGTATGTATGTATGTATGTATACTTATACGAGTGTGTATGTACGTTTTGCGAATATTTGTATGTACGAATTGCGTAGAAAAAATTCTAGTAAACAAATGAAACGCAAGTTATAATAAGCCATCGATGTTATTCGTACAAAATGTTTGTATGAAAGAGAAAAAGAGAAAGAGAGAGAGAGAGAGAGAGAGAGAGAGAGAGAAAGATAGAGAATAAGTGTACATTTTTTTACTAAAGATAAATACAAACGACAGTTTAAAAATTAGTACGTAGAAATACCTTTTAAAAGAGGTAGGAACGTTAAGAAAAAAAAAAGGAAGAAAAAAATAAATAATAATAATAATAATAATAATAATAATAATAATAATAATAATAGTAATAATAATAATAATAATTAAATGCGAAATATAGATATTCGAATATCTCCTGTGAAAAACTCGGATAGATACGTCGTTTGAAAAAAAAAAAAAAATAACAAAAAAATCTATGTACGTATACAAACATTTTCCTTTTTTCTTTTCTTCTTTTCTTTTTTATATAGTTATTATTCGTGTAGAAAAATACATGCATATATATATATATATTAAATAATATGTGCGTATTTTGAAAGAAAGATGAAGGAGGGGATAGGGTGTCTGATATTTCGTCTATTTCGTCGTCGTCCCATGCGAAATGTCGTATCGTTAGGATTAAGTCTATGGATATATAAAATCATTAGTTTATCGAAATTTCGTTGTGAAGAAATTGAAAAAGAGAATAAGAAGAGAGAGAGAGAGAGAGAGAAAGAGAGAGAGAAAAAAAATAATAAATAATAATAATTGTGTTATATACGCGTGTCCAAACTAAATATTTTTCACGAGCATATTATATTTACTGCAGAATTTGTCGATTGGCACGACATTTGACACGAAAAACAAATTTAAGAAAAAAAAAGAAGAAAAAGAATAGGGTGGGGGGGGNACTCGAATGAGAAACTATTCTTGTACAAGCATGTATGAAAGTAAAAAGTTGAGAATAGATTATAAGAAGAGGAAAGAAAAGAAAAAAAGAAAAATATATGTAAGCGGTGATATGCGCGTTAAAAATGATGTCACGTCACGTCACGTTTTTTAGTAGCTTTAGAAGAGCTATTTACCAACGTCCAGTAACATTTTTCTATAAACGTTTTATACTGATCAAAATGTTGTTGTTTTTCTCGTGAGGAGTATAGAAAATGAAGAAGAAGAAGAATAAGAAGAAGAATAAGAAGAAGAAATTGAATGAAGGATAATCATTTGAAAGTTTTCAACGACGATCGCGAAAGTCGCCGTAGTAGTTTGTAAAAATAGTTTTATGCAAGTTCGATTCCATGTAATAATGGATTTAAAAAAGATAAAGAAGAAGATGAAAAAGACAAGATTACGAGAAACAAATGATTTTGAATTTGATATCGAATACATTGGTTGAGAAATCGGAGAGAGATTTTCTAATTCAGGGGTTGAAATGGTTCCGATAATTAGTGGAACTATTAATTACACGGTTTTGACTGAAATGGTAATGAGAGTCGAAAAAGATATTATAATTGTAATGAATATAATAGTTTTCAATCATATCTATTTCAGTTTCGGTATTTCAGAATCAATATTACATCGATTATGTAAAGTTTCTAGAATTTATTCGATTCTATATAATAGAATTTGTAATTATAACATCTAAAACCATTGGAAAATAAATTATGGGAACCAATATGGAACCGATATAAAATCGAACTCGATATATAGACTAAAAAAAAAAAAAAAACAAAGAAGAAAATCATTATCTTCAGAATATTTATAACATTTCATTCGATTCTCATAAATGTTTTACAAATCAAAACCAATATCATAATTGTTGTTCAGCCCCTGATTGTTAATTTCATTAGAATTTAAATGGGTTTTTTTAATTTTCTTCTAACTTTTTAAACTCTTGCAAATGCATCACGTGATAGACGTATTCTCTTTTTTTCGTTAAAAAAAAAAAAAAAATACAAATTAAAATTATAAATCATATTATCAAGGACAAAGGGATTCGCCAATGTTTCCACTGCCATTCAGTAATTTAAAAAATCAATACGTTACGACGACGATTAATTTCTATACCGTGTGTACTTACCAAAAAACAATAATATTATACAAATAACAATAGCCCTGTTGTGCTCTCTTGATGTATATCGTGATACGATCTCAATTTGACAAATTCCTATATTATATATATATATATCTTCTCTATGATCATTTAAATGCATAAATTATCATCTCGCCGTTGCCCCGTTCAAATGAAATCTTGATAAATCTGTGATATAGTGGCAGACCTCACGTTTTGATACAGAGTTTGAACATTGCACGGGATTACTGCGATATTATTGCACGTTATTACGTTGTGTGTATATATATATATGTATGATAGCAAGTTTAAACGGTTGATTATTCGGTCGCGATAACATGCACTTATGGACAAGAATAATGATGATAACATTAATAACAATAACGCAATTGAATGGTCTCGTCACGTGGTGCGTGCACAGAATATAGAAGAAGAAATAATATTTTTTCATTGTATTCGAATGTTCTAACGTAAACGGCGCCACGTCAATACAATTCACCGCTATTATCCGAGATAAAAGAATCTGTATACGTATAACGTCATCATTTTTTATGTACCAAAGCTTATTATTAATTAAGTAATTTAATGATTACTTTGTATTATTGGATTAATTATCTTAAGCCTATGCAGATAAATATATTATGTACCATATTACATTATTATCGAGATATTATTTATTATCCTTAGCCCATCTTTTATTATCTCTGATTATTCATCATTATTTTTTGGTAATTCATCGAAATTAGGATATATAGGTAAAAAAAAAGAAAAAATTGATGAAAACTTTTTCATTTATAATATAATATTTTTTGATCCCAGGAAATTTATTCTAAGACCAATATAATTTACTTTGAAATACAAAAAAATTTCTTAAATAATGATTTTATCTTTACAATCGAAATGAGGACATATAGGAAAACATATATATATATATATATATATATATATATACATATACATATATAATAGAAATAAACACAAAAGGATCAAATAACACAACATGCATATTTATCCATCGTAATATGTGCTAACACGACTTCCCATTAAAGATAATAATAAAAATAATGCAGAAAATAAAATTCGAATAAAATGATATAAGAAATAATTCGTGATTGTTTTTCGCTTTATCTTTTTTCGATTTTGTTTTTTTTTTTAAACATCGAATAAGCTTTATAAATTATGTAGCCTTTTATTATTTTAGATATAATTTAGGTATCAAATTAAATTCTTGTAACAAGAAATGCGCATTTTTGGTTAAATGTACATCATTTCTGCCATGTGAGACATTTTCTTTGGAATATGAACAAACTCTTCAAAATAGCTGGCAAGTTCATCTATAGTAACGTCACAGGAAGGTGTTGATATACGAGCTTGTATAGAACAAGTGTTTGTATTTGAAGATTGGCCGGATACATTAATCGTATCCAGTTGGATACCTCCGCCAGGACCAGGACTTCTTTCTAAACTTGGCATCGTATTACTACGAGCTCGTTGAAAACTTCCACCTTGATAATTATCTACAATACTAGTATCGTCCTTAGCTTGTCTACACTCCTGACTAATATTTAACGCCTTAAAGTCCTTAGTGACAGAACCGTGACCAAAAGTTTTACAATTTCTACCAGGAATACTATATCTGCAGGTCTGCTTGAATAAAGTATCTGTTATATTATCACTTAAACAATCAGAATCAATAGAATTTAATTGCAAAACAGCCTCTTTTATGATAGAGTTCTTTTTAGTTTTATCCTGAAGTCTTTCATTTTTAGAAGGCTTAAAGTTCGTTGTACTTTTTACACCCCGGGTAATTGTCGTGGATGGCACTGATCTGTTAGGCATCGATCTTCTTCTAAACAAGTAGCTGCAATCTGGGCTTGTGCTCTTGCCTCTTCTTTGAAATGGATTTGTTGCTTTCAAATTATCAGTAGAAGCGATGCTAAAAACAGAAATCAGATAAAGTTAACACTTTATCATTCGGTTTGTAGGAAGAATCTATTAGTCTTCTTCGTATAAATAACAAGCGATTTTTTAAACAGCATACGCTCTACTATTGATTAAACTACAAATCACAAAAAACACTTGGTAATTAATAATAAAACAAAAGAAAAGAAAAAAGCATATTCTGAGCTAGTTAACATATGAGTCATCGGTTTTAACAGAAAGCCTTGAATATGCTTGTATCATCAAACGTCTGCTTTCTCGCGGATTATGCAATCCGAACAAAAGTAAAATATATCTCGCAATAACATTGATCACGTTCAAATATTATTATGCGTGTTTTCTTTCTGTCTCTCTCTCTCTCTCTCTCACTCTCTCTTTCTTTCTTTCTTTTTCTTTAACATCGTTACGTTACTTTTCTCAAGGTGCAATACACTTTTCTATTATTTTGCGTATCAAGAATACAAACGTACATTCTTAGGAACAAAGTGGATTTATAATTGGCTAAATGAAAGACCTTGACCGAGAATAGACTGCGAGGAGAACGATATATAGAAAAAGAGAGAAAGAGAATATGTATAAAGAAACTCCACCGAATAAGACTTTCGTCAAACTACTATAGATGTAAGAGTTGAAAAGGACACGATATAATATATCGAAAAGGAATACTCACTGGGGACAACTAGTCGAGAGTCGATCGATTTCGAGCTTCTCCAAACTCGCCGGCAGAACTTCGTCAGCCATTGTCAAGATTTTGAACGTCCGTGGACTCAGTGAACGCGGAAACATGGCATCGTGCCGGATAATTGAGATGAAGGGCCACCGTGTATGTTGGCAAAACAAAACTCTTGACAGTTCTTAGGAAATTTCCAGAACGTTTGAAGGTACGACGGCGCTACTGCGCGTCACCTTTTTAAAAAGAGGTTAGAGTTGTACTTCCAAACACAAAGGTTGGATGATGCAGCGTACGCTATGCGTCGTAAGCGAAAAACTATATCATCAACCAAAAACAACCAACCACCACCGAGAAAATATTATTTTCCATTCGTATTATCAATTATTTCATTATTTTTTTCTTTTTATTTTGATGAATTATATTTGTCCACACATTATCAATTATGATCAACCAACGAAGATGCTTCACTTTCCCGCTCAACTCAATTTACTTTACAGTACTTTGCGATCAATCAATCGTAGACAGCACGTAAATAAACACGATTTTGCGCGCAGCTGCCATTTTCTTGGTACTATTTGTAACGGGAGATGACGATCTAGATGACGCTACGTGTATTACTCTTTCATTGGCGCGCTTTTCAAAATTTCCTAAACACGTTCCCTACGTTATTAAAAATCATTGTTTGCTGTTAAAATAAAATTCTATGACGATTGATAATTATAGAATATGTTATATTTATATGATAGATTTCATGAAATTACTATAATTATTCTCTTATTTGATTTTGTAATATGGTAATGTAATTATATTTTAGCGCGTTTTTTTGAATTTGACAAAAGTTCATCGTTTTATAAGTTCTCATTTATGATTAAAGTAACATTTTTGAATAATAGAAAATAATAAAAATTATATCCATTATTCTTTTATGATTATTTTTATTTATTATATTAACCTAAACTTAAAATTTATTTAAACTATTTGATTTTTTTAATGTTACTTTAATTATACTCAGCTCATTAATTTGGTAACTAGGAAAATATAAAAAAATGCTAACAAGATTTGATATAATATAAAAATATAATATTATAAAATTGTAAATGAACGTATGGTATAATATTCACGCATCCGTGTAGCATGCGAGTTGTGCAGGCAGACAGGCATTTGCTATCGGCTCAAAAATCTGATGATTCAGTCGTCGAGGCTAACGAGAGCTGACGCACTCAGGATGGAGCTTTATTTTAGCATACGGACAAAATATTTACGAATTCCGAGAGAAAGAGGGAAGGCACTTTGAGAAGTAACAATATCTACTACGTAAATTTAAATAAAACTTTGAGAATAATCCGAGGATGTGTGCATGTGTGTATCAATTGTGTGAAGATATTTCAATAAATTACAAGAAATTTCTAACGTAAACGTTTAATCGTACATTTATGAAACTAGAAATGATCGAGTATATAGGATAGATACACATATACCATCTACATAAACGTGATTAATAACATTTGGTCGATATAAATTTTTTACAGCCATAAAAAGACCCTAGAACTGAACGTACTGATCGTAAAATTGTTCTCAAACCATAGAACCAGCCATAGAACAAGCTTGCAAACTAGCAAACCAGCAAGTAAGTAAAGTAAGTAAGCAAGCAACGGCGTTTTCCTGTTTAAACGTTTCAAATCCAATTTTGGAAACAGTCCAGAGACGTTTTGCGGTGCATCAGCTTTCGTTACTATCCCATTACTGTGCCAGAGAAAGAGAAACAAAGTATATAATACGCATACGTTGCCCTCGCATATCAGTGCAACATGCTGTTCGCAAATCTTCTTGCCATCTGGAAAAGGATTACATGCCTAGATTACATGCCTAGATATATATATCTATATATTATTTGTGAAGCTTCTATTTTACCTTTTAATTTGTAATGAAAATAAATTCTAAATGTTCTGCTTCATTTCATTTACTTTTCATTCAAATACTTTCCATTAGAGAAGAATAATTACCTCTTCTATTTTTTTTTTTAACCATTCTTTTAATTCTATTCTTATTTAATGGAATTATTCGATTTCATGCATCGTTTCAAGAGTAATTTTTATTGAAATAATTCTGTTGCTTTTATCAATCCTACCTGGATTTTTATTATTTTCTTCTTCTCTTATTACACATAATACATTTATTACTTTAATAATAATAATAATAAGAAAAATAACAAAGGAAGATAAAAAGAATTTTATTATTCAATTTTCGCATAGTAATATATTATATTACAGAAAGAGAGAGAAACGTTTCAAATATTCTCATAAATCAGTAACAATAAGAAAACTAAAAATAATTAAAATAACAGTCGAGAATTTACACACACTACCGGTTTCACTTAACTCGCAAGTTTCATGATCGATAGTCGCATTCTGGAGATGAACCATGAGACACCTACTTGTACAAACATAAATATAGGTGTATGCAATGTGCACGTGTCTCTGGGAAAATGAGGAAAAGAGGAGAACGCTTTGCTCGGTGTTTCAAAGACTATTATCTACGAGATGGCAGGAGAAACTCGCCTAATTTATCACTCTACAAAGTGTTATTTAGGTGTGATTAAGGGTATTCTAAGTAAACGAACGAACCAGGTGGACTTTTCTTTTGTTAACAAATGTTAACAAAAAAAAAAAAAAATACATTAACTTTGATCTCTTTCTTTCTTTGCAACCTTGTATTCCATTTTATTTTATTCATTCTAACTCCTTTGATGATTCAATCAACGAGACGGAAATCGAGTGTAGTAGATTCGTTTAAAAATAACGACACATTTTTTATAAAAAAAAAAAAAAAAAAAAAAACGAACGAAACTAAATTATCACGCGAACTTTGAATTCTTCCGGTTAACGTAACGAATAAAAAAATAATTATTCCCATGTTTGCTAGACGTCGTAAACGTCATCGAAAATGATTTTACGATACTTTCGAAACGGCTGAAAATACAAACAAGATGTTCAAAAGCGTGACGATGCTTTTCTACTCATATTTTTTTTATTTTTATTTGATATATTTAAAATCGTTAACTTATTCCTGGCGACTTATTCCATTCGACATCGATAAATACCTTAAGAGAAAATTCAATCCAATTTTATTCCTGTTACACATATTCCTCATGGTTTCATCATAATAATTTTATATGCGTTAAATCATAGTTCTCCCCCTTGAAAAACTTGTTCTCACTCCTTTCCTTTGCGATTTTACGATCTTCGATCAGCGTTACCAGATGTTACCAAAACTCGCGATTAAAACTTGGCCCAACCAACTATTTCGCATTATTGGAACGTGCCATGCGTTTCATGTGCTTTCGCTAGAAACACAGGGAATCGATGTTTCTATAAATAAAATGATTATTCCGAGAGAAGGAATGAATATGGAAGATGGGAAAGTCAAAGATTTTGATTTAACAAGATGATCTTTGAAACGACTTATTTCATACTTTGTTATACATCTATACTAATTTGTTTGCGAAATACTATTCTAACTGTCTTAAGTTTATTGTCAAAGAAGAAAAGAGAGACAAAGAGAGAGAAAGAGAAAGATTAACACTTGGTCAAATTCCAAAGGCCTCGGTTGTCTAAGTTAATTAACGTCCTATTAAGATTGACGTGACGTAACTTGAATCGTCTTATTTATTACCATTACTATAGATGTAAATCAAACAGCAGCACGTCGTCGTTCAATCTCATACTAAAACGTGTTTCTGTTCTTCAAAGACGGTAGGTATCTTACCACATATTTATTTGTAGCTCCTAAATCTTTTTTGTTTTGTTTAATATCTTCACAAATGATTTTTATTAAATATTTTCCCAATGATAAATTTCTTTTTTTAATATTAAAATATATATCAAATATATTATTTGATTTCTGACATTCTGCTCGTATATATATATATACACGTAGTTACTACAATGTTCTACGCTAATTAAATGAAATTCCTTAGTAGAGTTTTTAAAAAAAATGAATGTATGCGTGGATATAAATTATCAATATAAATTCAATGTTAGGATAATTGAAGAGATAAAGCGTAGGCGTAATGAACCGAATTCCAGAAAATCCAGAGAGAAGAATGAAACAAAAGGGAAAAGAGAGGAGAGGAATAAGAAAAAAAGAAAAAGTAAAAAGTAAAAAAGACGAAATGCATCACGGAGTTGTAGGATTCAGGAATGAAGAAAGTACGGGTTCCCTCTCGTCTCTTTTGCGATCTTATAAATCACAGTGATGGTGGTAGGTTGGTTGGTTGGTTGCTTGGTAGGTAGGTAGGTTTCTTTCAAGCTGAAAGGCCACACGCGTTACAAAATAACTTCTCTGCCTCAGATGTTCATCCCTCTTTCTTTTTTGGTCTTCTTTGTTTGACAAAAAGTCAGCATGGACAATTGCGGGTTACCGTTGACAATGTAAATTTTCCTTTTCTCTAACACGTAAGTCTAATATCGTAAATCATTCTCAAATGAGTTGATGCTAGGAGGGGTTGAAAACGAGATTTCCTAAGCTCTGTGTTCTTTGAATTGTGGATGCACGCGTGCTACCTGTCAAATAGATCACTTTTTTATATAAATCAAAGAAAGAATGAGAGATAGATAGAGAATAATAATAAAATAACAAGAATAAATAATTCATAGTTTATCATCGGAAATTTACCTTTGTTAGGATTTAAATAATTTTCTATGACAATCTGTCAGCAATGATACGGATTTCTTACATTTCATTTCCACTCTGGTAGGATTCTCTTCCTGGTTTAGTTGACATTTTATCTTCCTTCAACTTTCCTTACCTAAAGACAGAAATAATCATCGTCATCTTTAGCTTCGTCATCGTAGTCATCGTCGTCGTTCACGAGTAAAACTCGTATACTAAGGATTGAAATTATTTACCAGAAAATTGTTTGCGTGGGTTTAAGAGATGTGTGACGCAGAACGATGATCCCGATGATCTTGAAGATCTTCATATGATTTATGATACGTCCTTTTCACCATCATCTTCTTATTGAACATTTTTTTTATTTTTATCATACTCGCACACACGCAAACACGCTTATTATATATTCATTTATAATAAATTTTATACGCTGAAAATAAATATTTGTAAATGGTCGTTTATTTGATTTAATATAATACTATTTTTTTGTTAAAGTTAAGATCCCCTTCTTCGACCGATTAAGATTGAAGAAGATTTCTTAACGCATAGATCTTACTGTGGATATTTGTACACCCACGCATACGAATGTATCCTCACTGTTTGCTTTGCCAATCAAACGTCAAGACTCTAACCGAGAGATTACGTCTCGTCACGCCCAACTCATCGTTAACGTTAGAACACACACTCCCGTTACGAAAGGACTGCTTAGAGTCGTGTCACGTGTAACGAGCCAGACCATGAGCTATCAATTATTGGATATGAGATACTCTCTTTCTCTCTCTTGTCATTTTTTTAAGTGCTAAAAGAAACAAAAAAAAACAAGAGAGGAGATACCACTTTAATCTCTTTATCGTACACTTAATGAAGTAACCATTCACCATTTGACATAGTTACAAGATTGATAAAAGTGTGTAAAAAGAGAAACACAAAAAGATAGATTTATTTATAATATTTTTATGATGGGGTAACATCTGTGAAAACAATGAAACCATGCCAAAAGTAGCCAAATGATTTAAACGAAAAGTACAATTGAATTGTTCTATTAGCATGGTACTTAAAAGAAATTAAATTACAGTTGGATGTTAATCGTAATTATTAAATTATAAATTATTATTTTTATTATACAAGTTAAAAATTGTAATGAAACATTGTTATCGATATTCTTCCTTCTTCTTATCTACATAATACCTTTTATATACAAAGATAGTGAGTGGTATTAGAGTTTCTTTGATGGAAGTAGAAAAATCGATGATTAATCGGCCGACATGTACACGGAAGGATTTTAAACGCTTGGTAATATAATATCTCGTATCTCTCTGTAACTTACATAAATAACCGGACATGCGCGCGACATTACTTTCTCTATCTTCGTTTATATAGAAGAGAGTGGAGAAAGAGAGAGAGAGAGAGAGAGAAAGTAAGTGAGTGTTTTTAGAGGCAGATTGAGATACCTACTCCGTTATAACTTTCGCGAGGGAGTCAACGAATCGCGAATAAGCTCGTCGTTCGACGTCCGGACGAAAATATACCTCTAACTCGGCAATGGACTGCTAATACTACCAACTACCAAACCAGTCTAAATAAATGCTTTTCAAATTATTCTTTTATATTCTGTTTTATTTTCTTTCTTTTTACATTATTCGTATTCATCATCAATTTTTCATTAGAACAATTAATAATAAATAAATAAGAACAATTCGTATAAAATTTGTATCTACGAAAAATATTTGAAAAAAGAGGGAAATTATAAACTTAGCCGATCGAATGACCGAGAAATACGATATCGAGTTAAAGCACATGAGACGGATATTAATACGTCGTGCTCGGTGGCACGCGTTGCTACTGCACCTGGGGATGCGGATTTATGCATGTGTCCCTCTCGTTATTAATACTTCAAACGCAATAGAATCTCATTCCTCAAAAAGTTACCGACAAAAAAACTTATTACTTATTCTACTTGAATCAAAAGAAAAAGAAAAAGAAACGCGTGACTTACCAACATAATATTTTGCTCCATAATTAATTAAATATCATCCCTTTTGTTCAGTTCACCCAATTGGTCCTTTGAAGAAGAGAAAACAGGGAGGAGGGAAGGGGACAAAAGAAAAGAGGAAATAAATAAAAAATACAAGAAAACAAAAAGAACGAAGTAATCCACTATTTTTTTTTTTTTTTAATAATGCGGGGGAGGGTCGGCCTGTTCCCCTTTGCTGGCGAACTCTACTTAAGCGGCAGCAAAGCGGAAAAAGACACACCCTCGACCAACACACTTGTGGATTGACACGGACGAAGTTACTTTTTTTTCTTCAGATTTTTCCCCAACACACAAACACAAACATACGGAGTGGATTATATTCCTTTCCGATTGTATTTCATCATCGAACAAATTTATACAAAAAGCCAAAGCTAAAAGACAGCAAACGTCAAGCAAACTGGCCAGGTTTGTGGAGGAGGAGGAGTAGAAGGGGAGGGTTGAAAGAAACAAGCACAGAAAGGTAAAAGAAAGGAGAATTCATGCACGCGCGAAAATAGAGTAAAAAGAATGAAAACCATTGGGTAGGTGGGTAGAGGAAAGGGGGTGGACAAAGCGAGCATTAATTTATTCTCAACAACGAGACTGAATTCTAACGAACGAACGAACAAACGCCCGTAACAATGGCGGATCCAATGTGCCAAGTTCCTCCCACCACCCCGTCACCACCTCTTAGCTTAGAAAATATACGATTCAACGTACGAATCAATTCGTTATTTAATTATCATTTCACACAAGCACATGTGTATTTGTACATGCACATACATTGACGTATAACAAGATTTGACTTTTAAGATATTTCGGTATATATTCGACTTGAAGTAGCGAATTGGCGCTATAGTTCGCCATTTTGTAAGAAAAATGAAAAACGAAGCGGTTTTCTAGTGCTACCCACCACTACTACTATTACTACAAACATAGATATGTACACGTACACAGGTATGTATATTATAACTGACGAGGTTTAGAGATACAACGATAAGTTTACTTGGTTGAACGTGGGGAGTCGGCTCGTTCTCAAATCGTTGCTTTTATGCTATTTCTCCTCTATTACGTGCACCTTGAGATACGCCGAAAAGAGAGAGAGAGTGTGAGAGTGTGAGAGTAAGAGAGAGAAAGATAGCTTCAGTGAAATCTTCCTTCGCTCCGTCTAAATTTAAAGTTCCAAACGGCTGCTGAGATATACGCGCCAATTCGAAAAAAGAATTCTAACCGAGGGAGAATTTTTTTTTCTTTCTTTTTTTTCTACAATATCGTAAAAGGTCCGCAAGATCTCTTTTTACGTATCCGGTATCGGTATAGGATAACCAGGGACCAACCCGAGACGATTGATTTATCGATTATTTCATTTCGTTTGTGTATTTTTACAAAGATCTCAGAAAACTCTATCTTTCTTTAGAATAGAAGTTGAAATTTTGTTGCAAAAGCTTATAGCCACTTCTTTTTTAATTTTGTCGTTGTCGTTCTTAATCGTACAACATACAACAAACACACTCAGATTTAGATTATATCACAGAAATTTTTAAACTCGATTTCGACGAATTTAATTCATCGCTATTTTTATCGACACGTACGATCATTGGATACGAGCCACGAGATTAATCGTTAAAATTCACTCTTGCGTGAGAGAGAAAGAGAAAAATGTTTTTTAAAACGTGAAATGAAAAACTAAATATCATTTCTGAAAGATAGTTTCTTAGGTCTTCTTTCACTTGGACTCATCAATACAAAAGATTTTCTTAAACCCAGTTTCTAATCCCCTTCACCCATTCTTAGTTTTTTTTTTTTTTCGAAGAATACCTGTTGTTTTAAGATATAAAAAAACATTGTGGAAGAAACAACATTAATAGCAATTAGTATCGTTTCTACTGGAACTGTGAAGTTCAATGATCCCTCACCCACCCTCTCCTACATCGGAGTGAAAGGTAAACCTCTCGAAGGACACGCCTGTTTCTCTTTCTCATTCTCATTCTCATTCTCTCATTCTCATTATCATTTTCTTCATTATCGTATTATTCGCACAATGTTCGTGTATTATTATTTTATGTATTTCATTCTAATTGAATAACATCATATATATATATATATATATACCTTAAATTGACATAATCTTTGAGGATAAATTTCTTTATGTTTCTGCCTACGTGTTAATATATTCTATCTTTCTCTTTCCTCTATGAATATGGCTAAGGTCCAGCAAAGTATTCGCTATATTAGGACCGCCTTATATAACGTTAACTCATATCTATGCTATGATGATGATGATGATGATGTGTACGAATCTTTAACATGTACGATCAAATCAGTATGAACTACCATTTGCTAATAGCTTATGGTTAGTCAATCCTCTTACAAGCTACCCTTTGTTTTACTCTCATCTTCATCATCTTCATCTCATCTTCCCATTTAACCATCTTCATTATGTATATATATATATATATATCTCTTTTTTTTTCTATTAAAAATACTTGGAAAAGTAAAAAAATCTTTTCTTTTTATACGAAAGATTATTAAAAATTAAAAATTGTTCTTTCTCGTTTTAATTAACAGTAATAAAATTTAATTAATGGTAAAAACTTTTTGACGAATTTTTAAAATAAACTCTAAGGTTAATAATATCTACATAATAGAGACCAATATTGAAATATTCATACACGTGTAACTAAGCACGGACCTGCTTGGGTTTTCGCCTAATTAAATTTTCCTGGAAACTACACACATGGTAGTGGGTTTTCTCTGTGTTGAAACTAGAAGCTTACTTCCGCTTGACCGTAAATATTTTTCCGCAAAATCTTCACTAATCTCTTTCTCTCTTTTTTTTTATTATTAAACAAGAATATATAAGACTTCAGGATATTTTTCCCTTTCCGTTGGTATTAATCGAGGATCATATAATTATTTTTTTTTTATTAATAGACGTAATCAACGAAGAATAATTTCGAACCCCTGCTGTCGTATTACGATTATTATCCTAAATTGGTGAGTAATACAATATATTAAGTTAGATGAACAAATTTATTTCATCTATGCTGTAATTTTATTTATAATTTTATTATAAATATTTTCAATGAGAAATATTTATTGTATGTGTGCGTATATATTTTTTTTTTAACTTTGAATGCATTTATAATTTATTTTAAAATAAATGAAGAAATGAATTCACGAACGTTTGAGTTTCTAACAAAGTACTTATGTATATGTACTGTGTAAATATATATATATATATAAAATGAGAAATACGGAAGGGACAGAATATATATATATATATACCCTTCCGTATTTCTCATTTTCATCGGTGTAGATCCAATGTCCGCAAAACGACTGTCCAAACAATTAGCGGTCAACCGAGGGCGTTAATTTACACGACAAATACGACACCCTCTTTCTTCCTCCTGCCCTCAGGGTTGCTGTCAGTGCAGCACGGTTTACTGACTTAACTAATGTAAAAGAGACCTAACACGAGTAGTAGTAGTAGTAGTATTAGTAGCAGACCCTTTTATTGCGAGCATGATTGAATTAAAGATTAGTGATCCACGTAAACAAGGTGTCCTTCATTTATCTAGGTCATGGAATGTTTAAACTGATCAAACTTAATGGAACTAACATAAATGAAATTATTTGAAACGAAATATATATATATATAAATATAGATAACACGTTTTACGATCATAAATAAAAAAATATATTTATATATTATATTTTATATATTATTTTTTAATAATACATAATATTTTTTATTTAATATATTATATATATTATTTTATTATCATATTTATTTATTATTTATTATATATATTATCGTAATAATCCTGAGTAATATTTTTTTTTCTTTTTTTCTAATCTAACCTAAATATATCTTTCAATCGATCATCGTTCGTTCGTTCGTTTGTTCGTTCGTTCAAAATTATTATTTCTATGGATATTTCGAAAAAGATATTTTCTTAGTTGATTAATTGCCAAAATGAATCTAGATATATCACGTTGCAGCCAATGGCAGCAACGTTTTATGGTTATTCGCGAAACAAAAACGTTTCTTTTGCTTTACCCGTGATGAGGGTGGGTAGAGGGGTGTTGAGAGGAGGATCAAAAGTATTGAAAAATCGCGAACAAACCTACTGATGTTAACCTAAAAGTAGATAGGGCCCAACACTGCTTTCCCCACCCCCTTCGATTGTTTGTACGATCACCCCTCTCTCACCTCTCACCCATCCCCATACATCTCCTAATTTCGAACGAATGTCTAGTTAGCAGCTTATAGTTTGTTTTACTTGGCTAGAAAATCAACGAGGTCGATCTAGTCGGCACCGATCGAAAAGAAAATATGCAACGATCGAGATTCGCTATGATGAAATAGGTTGGATGGGTTGGGGGTGGGGAAAGGGGATCACAGCAATCGTATCCATACCAAAAGAATCGATCATTTTTTTTGGTTCACGTAAACGAATGAATATTTTTCTAGTTTCTGTTAGTTTGTTTTTCTTTTTTCTTCAAATCTTACACCGTTTAGTTAAATTTGATTGAAAACGTTCTAAAAAAAAAAAAAAAAAAATAAAAAATAAAAAGTTATACTTCTAATATACCATTTATAAAGAAATTTAATACGCGTCAGAAAAATCTGTCAGTTGGCTAGAAACAAATGTTATTTTGTTTTATAAAACATTAATATGCATATTACAATAATTCAATTGTTAATAWTAACATATGATGATTATTATTATTATTATAATTATTTCGATATATTAAAACAACGTATGAAAAATGAGAAAATGAATGACGATGAAAATTGAATATGACGATGAAAAATTTGTGAATGAAAAAATAAAAAAAGAAAAAATGATAAAATGTTTGTCCTACCTGAAGTTGGCATCTTCGGATTAAAAAATGATATAAAAATATACAATTACGGATTTATAACCGTGTGTTTGGTCGGGAAAAAAAATTGATTGGTTGTGTTGTTCGTCACAGGGGCCCCGTGTAGCTGATGTCTATGAGCTCAGAGATTCATACGAGAATAAAGTCCGTGAAAGTGAAAGCGAGGGTGGACGCCTTGATGCGAACTGACTGCCCCGCGACGGTTTCATTCAAGAAGGCGTCTGGTGGGTTTGCGTCGCGACGCTTTCCGCGCACGCGCCCCTCTCCCACCCTCTGACGACGATGACGACGACGACAAAGCAACTAACACGACCGACAACTGACTTTTATCTTTTTTTTTAACCCCCTCCAATTTTTGTTAACATCAGAACTACCCACACAAATGAAAAAGGTTTACATCGTATTTTATTTCGATTTTTCTTTTTTCTTTTCCATCCCTCCTTTTTACTAATCACCCCTTCCCTCTCCTAACCTTTCCTTTTTCCTGTTTTTTTTTTTCTATTAAGTATTTGTTTTATTTTCTTTTTCTTTTTGATTTTAAATACTAATTATTTCGATTACTTTTCATAAGAATAATTTAAAAGAATATATATATATATATTATAATATAATAATATATTATATAATATAATAATATATAACTAACAGTAATTTATTTGTCGAATAATAAGAAAAATAATTAGAATTAGATTGTAATTTTCTTATCAATGAATCTTCAACGAGATTAAGAGAAAATCCTTTTGAGACGTTTGTGGATTCGTGTAGAATGAATTTCCTTCGAAAATTGTCAATGCAGTTGCCAAATTTGGCGTGTCTCCAACCACGTTGTAGTACGTTTATTAACGAGAATAAATATTGTCGATATTATCGAGTATCTGTCAATTATTAGATTTAGAAATTATGTTTTCGATATATATATACGTATGATATCTATTAATTTCCGGTACAAGGTAAAAGCATTAGATCGACAACGTTACGGTACGCGATTCGGAAAATGTTCATCTCTTCAACGTGGTCCATTCAATTTGCGTGCTTAACTCAAGTCTAATAGTTCTATAAATAAGTGAGAGGGTTACTAGTCGATGGTTAGGCTCTTCCATGCTTACCACGACGATGTGGAATGTTCATTCACTATAAGACCTATATATTTTGAGTTTGAATAATTAAAACCTTGCCTTAGAGTTTTTCCAAACGTTTGATTTTACAGTTTTTTTAGAAAAAAAAAAAGCAAAAAAAATTCATTCGATCTTACGTCTCCTTCCGGTTGTGGGTTCGAACATATTGAAAAAAAAAAAAAAAAGAAATAGAATAATCAAGACGAACTAATATGAAAGAAAAGTAGTAGTTCGTTCGTTTAAAAAGTGCAGTTTTTAAGCAGTTAAAACATATGGGTTGGTTGATACTAAAAAAAGAAATCCCTCAGCGATGAAGTGGAACGGTTTCTATTCATTCAATCCCGGAGCTAAAGTCACGTTTCCTAATCCTAAAAATAAATGACTCTTCTTGGGTATCAAAAGCTGGGTGCTAGGTTTCTACTAAGATTTAGGATAAAAATCCATTTAAAGTGGTGAGTGTGTATGTTTTTAAATGCAACAAGCAGTTTAACGTTTCGTCTCTATTTCCTAATTAAAGTAAAAAAAAAAAGAAAAAAAAATGGAAATGATGAAAGAGAAAGAAAGAAAAAAAGCAAGAGAGACAGACAGATAGATACAGTTTTTAGAAATAAATAAATAAAGAAAGAAAGAAAGAAAGAGAGAAGAGTAAAAATTTTTTTCTTCAAGCAACTTCAAGCTGTCGTTTTTTTTCGCTATGAGGAGGCGGAGAGGATTCAAAACAAGTTCCCCCTAGAAGCTTCTCCGGTGTTCAAAAATAGAGCGATGGAATGACACGGAGAAGCGGATACCGTAATATTTTAGTGTCACAGGAATAAAACACATCCCGATATCCAGGCAATTATACGAATGGTATATAATGTTATCCCTTAAAGCATAGAAACTAATACTCAATAAACGAATCATCCTTTGTCGCTTTATCTATTGACTAGATCAACTTCTATACATATATATATTAAAGAAAAATATAAAAAATATATT